GAAAACCTCACTTGGCACTTTGGATAAAAAAGAAAAAAAGAAAAATAACAAAAATACCGAACTCAGAGGAAAATTCAAAACGGAAAGTCCCTAATCAAATGGCAAAATTAAATGCTCAAACATATCAAACGAATGGATAACAAGTAAAATCACAAAAATACTGAACTCCGAGGAAAATTCAAGAAGGAAAGTCCCCAATCAAATGGCAAAAACAAATATCAACTGTCATATTCCTGACTTGGTATAGGCCTTTTCTTATGTAGAAAATGGTGGATTAAACCAGGTTTTATCGCAAGCTAAACCTCTAACTTGTATGACAGTCGCAAAAAAATCCATTATATTGACAACGATGTGTGAACAAAACATACAGACATAATAGGTAAAAATGTCAAAAATTGGGGTACAGCAGTCACCATTGTGTTATAATCTTAATCACTATAAAAACAAACAAATATGTAAACAAAGAAAAACAAAAAGGCATATAGACAAAGCACATTAGCAAAAACTAAAGAATACAAAAATTTATCATAGCACAATAACACATTGACGGGATGTAAAAGTATTGAGCCACGTTACAAAAAATAGACTAAACAGTAAAAGTAATAATTTACATACACAAATAAAAGAATTCTATCACACGTTATTAAGATGATAAACAACGTCAGTACCTAGAATTTATACTTCAAGATCGTCGTGTTTTATTTGTGAAGTTGATACGGAATATTTATCAACAAGTACAATTAAGAATGGAAATGGGGAGTGTGTCAAAGAGACAACAACCCGACAAAAGAACAGAAAACAGCCGAAGGCCACCAACGGATCTTCAACACAACAAGAAAATCCCGAGCCCGGAGGCGGGCTTCAGCTGGCCCCTAAACAAAAATGTGCACTGGTTCAGTGAAAATGAACGTCATACTAAACTCCAAAACACATAAATGAAAAAAAACATTGAAAATCATATAAGACTAACAAGGAACAGAGGCTCCTGACTTGGAACAGGCGCAAAAATGCGGCGAGGAAAATCATGTTTAGTGAGATCTCAACCCTCCCAATACCTCTTGCAATGTAGAAACAACAAACACACATCAATACGCACAGTAAAACTCAGTTTAAAAGAAGTCCGAGTCCGATGTCAGAATAGGTAGCAAAAGAAATTAAGCAAAATGACAATGATACATGCCACCTCAAGACCTCAATTAAAATGATTGAAAGATTATGTCTTCATTATAAGAAAATCAAGCACAATCCCTCCCGTTAGGGGTTAAGTACCATACCATCATAAAATATATGAGAAGAACATAACCCGTATCATGCCAACAACTGGTCTTAGAATAAATGTGTTTATTTCCGATGCAAAGACCCTATGAGTGAATCAATATTAATACCAAAATATGCCATTTTAATGACCTGACAACAGTATCGTAACTATATCCTTTCTGAATAAAAGCATCTTCCGATGAACTTGTTTAGAAAAAGGTCGAGACGTTCTTTTACATACCCTTGGTTCATCAACTTTCTGATCGGACACTGGTGACGTTTTACATAGTCTGAATAGCAGCTGCAAGCTCTTGAATACCGAATGAGTTGGGATGAGAAGGGGAGTTAAAAAAAACCATTAACTTTGACTTAAAATGGACTCGTTGTAATGGATCGGCATTTTGTGCGTACTTAAGACTAGACGCCATTTAAATTAAATTATCCATTGAGATGACATCCGAGGACTACCGACGGTCATATAACCCGATATATACATAAATATTTATATACATAAACAGACCGGCACGTGCGGTCGTTTATTGAAGATTTGTCTAGGTCTGTTTGATTTCATGTTATAAATCAAAAATATATGTACATCTATTTACACGGTATATCGAAAAAAAAATGATCGTGAAAGAATACCTAACGGTGGTCAAGTATTGCAATTGGATCGTGAAAGCTCTGGTATAGGATCGTGAATGAAATCTTATCGAGAAGACATTTGCAAGGTCAATAGCTAATTTAATTTAATGAATTATACGGAAAATTTATAAAAAAAGTAAAACTGTCTGTCAAAATGGTTCAATATTATGATCAGTATCTGATAAAAATCAAGGTTTAAAAGTACACCATTATTACAAAACTACAAAAGGCAGATTGCTTCTCGACATTTCGACAACATTAAATATGTAAACAAACAAGATTTTCTTCATTTTTGGAATGACTAAACAACTTTTCTTTGTAAAAAGTCATTCCATTAAATGTTTCAAATGGTTCTTAAAGTTAATTTGTGTTAGCATAATCAAACATTTTGCAAAAATTGAATATTTACAAAAAAAATGTGTTTTTTTCGGATCGTGAAAGATCGTGTACCGCTGTTTGAAGATCGTGAAAAGGATCGTGAATGATCTGATGCTACGATAACGTTCAATTCATTATTTAATTATAGGATAAAAAGTAAAATCTCAAAAATACCGACCTCAGGAAACGGAAAGTCCCTAATCAAATGGCAAAATCAAAAGCTCAAACACATCAAACGAATGGATAACAACTGTCATATTCCTGACTTGGCACAGTCATTTATGTTTTCAATTGGTACAACAAAGACTAGATTTGCATGGCTCATCCCGGTTCTCTATTGTTGGTGAATCGGGCTTTAATCGTCCAATACCATTGGATCTTATTATCTTAATATGTATAGTACCACATCGGCTAGGTACCTTATAGCAATAACACTCTATTTGTCCGTTCTTCATAAGTTTTGATTTCTTATACAAATTTAAGATTGAGAATAGAACTTAAGGTGAATGGGGGTCCTAATTAAAATCCATAGATTTTTTTAATAATTTGTCAAAATGTAGTTTTTATCATGCTTTTTTCCAAAATATAAAAAAAAGTATGGGTCACCGGACTTTTTGTCTCGCTACAGGTTGTGAAAAATTGTCAGATTTTGTATAGGTTATGAATGGAAAGTTTTCTTGCTACATATTAAGATAGATAAATTCACAACACTTTCCATAACAAAAATTATTTTATCTGAGTTATCTCCCCTACTTTCTTAGTTATCTACCCTTATCTGGCAAAGTTGAAAAACACAAATATCGTTTCTTTTAGAAAATACAGCCGTAAATATGAAAAAACACATAATTTTCTATATTAACATGAAAAGTCTTACACATGAATTACATACTATTTTCAAAATTTGCACATTTCATTAAAGATCTAGACCGACTGTTATCTGCTGCTTCAAAATCCAAGATGGAGGAAGACACCCCAGCCACCTTAATCGACTAAATTACAGTTTAAGCTGGGCATCATGCACAATCGCGGTACGTTGATCGGTAATTTTCCCACCAAGTTGGGTACAATGACGTATAGCTCTTGTGAACAGACCGATCAAACAATCAAGTAAAATAACGTTATCTTGGTTCCTTTTAAGTTTATGTCAGCGCAGCCACGAAATTAACAATAAATTAGCCAATATTGACATACTTTGTACGCACGAACGACACTCCATATAACTGAAGGTAACAACCCTTACAACAAAAAAACAATGCGTACACATGCATATATTTCCAGGGCGGATGCATTAATCATTATAGATACATATATACTTTAACTTTACGACAATATACGCTCCTGAAGATCCTTTTATCTTGTAAATCTACTTATCTAGACACGTTTTTAGTTATTTTGATAACTTTGAAGGAAAAGTGTTGAAATAAAAAAAAGAGTGAAAAAATAAATCATAGCAGTAATATTCATTCTTATTAAAAATAATTACACGCTTCAACTAGTTGCAAGTATATCAATTGGTAAAAAAAATATTGTTTTCTGATTCTTAAGTCTGGTCTGGTGCATCAAAGTCTAAAGCGCAATTATCCAAAGTGTTTGAAGCGGAGATTACCTTTAGTGTTAAAGGTAAAAATCGCAAACGTCCTGCGCCCGTCTGGTCACGTCTTGTCTTTCACGATCAAGATAATGCGTTGGCCGATCTTCCATGATCGATTTTTTTTTTATCTTATTGCACAGTATCATTGAGAAATTTCAATCATTTTGACAGACATATTTTTTTTTTTTTTTTTGCGGATTTGTTTCGCGTTTTCAAATACAGCAGATTTTTCACAGATTTTGAAGTAGAATTACAACTAATAACATTCACGATCCGATACCAGATCTTTCACGATCCAATCGCAATGCTTGACCAACATTAGGTATTCTTTCACGATCATTTTTCTAGATATACCGAATGACAGCCGTGTTTTAACTCTATAAGAAAGATTTTTTGTGGTTTGGATTAGTCAACGAAATGTTTATCCCTGGTGTCTCCTTGTTTCACATTTCTGTTTACGAAAGAATGAACCCCGTACGGAACACATGCGCAACCCATCCATTGATTCAAATTTAAAAAAAAACGGCTTCATTTTATGTGACTGTCCCTTCCGTTTTATCAATCTCTCTATTGAGCATTTGGTCTTAGTAATTAAAGATACGTTAAATTCGGTGTGCTTTAGAACATATGTCCAAGGGAAACAGTCATCACTTTTGTTACATTTTCTTCGTATAGTAATAGCTTAAAAAAATGTTTTCCACTATTCCTGTCCTTTCGAATTAAGATAAGATTTTATCATACCTTTGATAATCTCTTTATTTCCTAAAATAGATACTTTTTAGCAAACATTCATTTTGTACAATAGGAAAGTGATTGATGATTGAAGTTTCAAACTTCAATTTGTTTGTCAAGACTCAAACGAATGGGTTTGGTCTATAACATTTTCAAAATCTATTTAACCTGTTTTATTGTATAGGTTCAACTTTTGAGTTACGACTTAATGTACTTAATAATGTGTATCTAAGATCTCTGAATCACCGACACATTACTAAGTTAGTTTGTTGTATCTTATTATACTATACAAATTGCACACATTTCCTCCCGTAATTCGAGATTTTTGAAGGAACTGACTGGATTTCCTAATAATTTACATATAAATTGTCTACCTTTTAATGATTTAAGTCCATTGACAACCATACAACACACACAATAATCAAGGTAATCATTTTCTAACATATAAATGAAAGTGTAAGAAGTAATTACAAAATTGATAATTCTGTCTAAAATAATGTTGTGGCTGACTGTTCTCTACTACAAAGATATGTACAAAAAGTAATGGAATAAAACAACGCCACATTTGGTACAAATTAGTCTCGTAGATTTCATCAAAATCTATACCTTTTTTTTAGATATAGGATTTTTTGTATTTAAGAATATGATAACATAACAACTTAAGTAGAGGTTATGTGTCGTTGACTTTACATTACTCGTTACTTATGAATGATTTTTAATTGGACATTCTATCAAATTTATCTTACTTAAATATAGCATCTGTTTTTCTAGACGAAACGCGCCTCTGGCGTACACAATTTTAATCCTGGTATCTATGATGAGTTTATTTATCACCAGCCCAGTTGTCAGCACTTCTGTGTTGAGATGAATTATCATCTACATGTTCATAATTATAAAATAGCTATTTTCCATTGTTTGAAGATTTTGAAATACTACGGATTTTATATAAAACCTTTGACAAGTCTCAATACTAGCCTTGTTTGTATAGCCTTATTTGTAGCATGGTGTTCTGTTTTATATGTAAGTTGATTATCTCTCAATTGACCTCCAATTAATTTTTTTAGAAACCACACTGACAGCTTATAGCAAAATATTATTTCTACATTCGCTTTTATAAATGTTTGAAACAAAAAGTTAACATAAATCAATTTTTTTTTGGGGGGGGAGTCTTATTCGTAGCTAATACCCCTTTAAGAATCATGCAATAATAAATCGCTTGTTACATTGATTTAATGTGTGGTGCTTTATTGAATAATAAAAAATCAACACTTTATACGTTTCATGCGTCTGAAGCGTTTCATCTTTATATCAATCGTTTGTACGTACGACTTGCTCAGCGAAAAATGCAGTAAACTTATAGATTTACTTTCAAACTAAAAACAAAAATTAATATAAACTTATTGGATATCTGATGAATTAATTTATCATTGGTTATTGCAAAATGTGAAGAGATGATCTGTGGATATTATTTCTATAATGATTAGCTAGAGTTATCTTTACACAGATTACACAGATTATATTTACACTTCCTTAATTTCGAAATAGGAAAGATAGATTTAAACACTGGATTCAAATTCAAATTCATATGGAGAATTTGTGGTTTCGGTAATTGAAGATACGTTAAATTCCGTGTGTTTTAGAACATATGTCCAATGAAAGTTGTCGAAAATTTTTTTGACGTTTTAATTTTTTTCATGTATAATAATAACATGTAAAGTGTTTTCCACTCTTCATATCATTTCCAATTAAGATAAGATTTTATTTTAGCTCGGAAAATCTCTTTATTTCCTAAATTATATACTTTTTATGACACATGCATTTTTGTACAGTAGAAAAGTTATTGGTGATTGAAGTTTCATACTTCATTAAGACTATGCGGTATGGGCTTTGCTCATTGTTGAAGGCCTTTTGGTAACCTTTAGTTGTTAATTTCTGTGTCATTTGGTCTCTTGTGAATAGTTGTCTCATTGGCAATGACACCACATCTTCTTTTTTATATTAAACAAATGAATTTGGTCTATAAACATTTTCAAAATTTATTTAACCTTTTTTATTGTAATGGTTCAACTTTTGAAATACGATAAATGTAATGTGTATCTTAGATCTCTAACTCACCGACAAGTAACTAAGTTAGTTAGATGTATTTTATTATGACATAAAGAATACAAACATTTCCTCCCGAGATTCGAGATTTTTGAAGGAACTGGCTAGAATTCCCAATAATTTACATATAAATCGTCTACCTTTTTATGATTTAAAATCAACCTTTTAACAACAATCAAGATTTGTCAAGGTATTTTTTTCTAATATAAAAACGAGTGTAAGAGGTAATTCCAAAATTGATAATTCTTCCTTAAATAATGTTGTGGATGACTGTTCTCTACAACAAAGGTATTTACAAAAAGTAATGAAATATAACAATGACACGTTTAGTACCAAATTATGCATGTAGATTTCACAAGATTCTATCCCTTTTTAAATTGACCATAATAGCCTCAATCCCCCCCCCCCCCCCCCCCCCCCCCAAAAAAAGGAAACCAAGAAACAAAACGAAAATATTCACGCGATGTTAATAAAATCAAGAAAAAAATGAAAAGAGATAAAGTGAACTTTTACCAACTAGTACATGCACAGTTTAAGTTCTTATTCTTTTGATGTGTTTGAGCTTTTGATTTTGCCATTTGATTGGGGTCTTTCCGTTTTGAATTTTCCTCGGAGTTCGGTATTTTTGTTATTTTACTTTTTACACGAAAGCAGTAATTTCGATCAACTTGATATAAATATGAATACGAATTTTGTAATGCGGATGCCGAACAATTGCCATCGCAACTTCTTAACAAAAAAAGTAATTATGAACATATTTTAAAAATCCACTGATATCCATGGCAACGCGATTCATTTCCTGGGATCACTACTGTAAAAAAGTCATTTCCCAACTCTAATATCGTAAAGAGGGCATCCTGCCTTGATATTATTTACACAGTATTGAACAATTTAAAATTGCATATCATTTAATTGCCTTTTTCTAAAAATCCGGATAGCAATTGTTTTGCCCCTAATTGCATTCTCGATATTACAGGTACAAACACTTATTGGAAAGATAAAACTGGGTAAGCATTTAAAAATGTAAATACAAAAAAAAAAACTTAAGATTTTAACAATTCTTCAGCGCAATTTCTCAATGAAATATTTTTATGGAACATATGATTCCCTAATTTATTTAAATATGAACCTAGAATTATGAAGTCAAAACTCTAAGCAGACATTGGGGTCATAAACGAACAATCCGAAATAAAATTGTTGCTTATCAACACATGTATTCCTTAGTAACGGGGTTCAATTTTAAGAAACTAAGTACAGATATTTTTTTTAAATAACAATAACCGGATGAGTATGATGAGTAGTTTACCAGCTTTTTCAGGTTCTATAAATTTTGTAACCTACATATTTATTTATTTGCAAAGTCATCGTATATAGAACATAACGACAGTTGTAATACAAGCCTTAACACGATCTTTACGCATTGGCTTGCTAAATACTTGTTGTCTGTATACGCAGTAATTTTTAAGTTTTTATGTTGCAGTACATCAACACAAGCAAACTCTACATGGTCCACCGATTTGACATAATCAAACATTGAGACAGAATCAGATCAATAAAGATTGTCATTACTATAAATAGCACATCGAGATGATATTTCAATTTTAGGCCCGATACCTCAGTTAACGTGAAGTGCATTTCTTTATAATGATAAATGCAAATTTTAAAATCCCACCTGCGTTATTTTCAGTAAGATGGATTTTGCTCACTGTTGTATGCCGTACGGTGACCTATAGTTGTTAATTTCTGTGTCATTAGGTCTCTTGTGAAAACTTGTCTCATTGGCAATCATACTACATCTTCTTAATTTTATATTAGCTGTAAACCAAAATATTGAAAATTTCATTTTAAGGGGGTCTTTAAAGTTATATGAGTTTCTTCAAATTATAATGTTACGGAAATTATTTAATCAATGCAAGAAAATATACTGAATTACGTCCTTCATGGACGTTTTTTTTTACATTTATTACGAATCTGTAATGTATAACCGAAAAAAATATTTCATTCAGTGAAAAATTTGCGTGCTTATAAATTTCGGGTTATATTGCCGAAGTTGACTTATCGTGACCTTAATAAACAATCAAAAACGAATCATAGAAACGTGAAAAATAAGTGTGATTATAGACATGCAATAGAGAGATGTTTATTTGTTTTTAAAACATTTTCCATGTGATTCCATTTGTTAATCAAACTATGTCATAATAGTTCTTAATTTGGTGTTTAAAAAATTTTCTTTTAGAATTAATTAACACTATCTTACTTGAACGTTGGTTTATTTTTTTCTTTCGTCAAGTTATGATAATAAGAATTTACAAAACAAGTATCTGCTGTTTTGTTTGCATAAAAAAAATATATTAAAAAACAATTGTGCTCCAATCTATTATCACAGTGCATCTAGAAGATTAGCCTATATTATTTAACACACTGAATCACTCTGGAATGTATTGTCCTAAAACATTGGGACAAATTTCCTATTTCAGATGGAATTAGTTTATCCCTCTTGTCATCTCGAAATGTATGTATTGTGCAATTTTATACCACAGTGACTTTCATTAATGTACGACACATGAGTATGTACTCAGGCGCTACGCTACAACTTGTTTTATAAGATTTTGTAGGTGCGATACAAACTTCAATTGAAATTTTAATTGTCGGTCATTTTACCTGAAATATGACGCAAAATTGATATTAATTTTTGGTTCAAATGAAGTATAACTTTAGGGGCGCAAATGAAACACTGTATTTTAAAATTTGACACAAATTTAAAATACCTTCAAAAATGAAGTTAATTTTATTCTTAGATTACTATAGCATGTTAACATTCATAGTAAACTTAGTTTTATTGCGTTTGATATATATAATAATATCCCAAACATGTGTATGTATAAATATTATGTTTATTTTCGACACGTCTGGATGATTTATACCGGAAAGTATATAACAAAATCATGTAAATACTTCTTTGTTTCTTGTTTATTTTATTTCCAATCCTTTTAAAATTCAATTTGACAGTATGGCAACTGTGGTTATGGACAACGGAACATGGTTCTGTAAAGCTGGTTTTGCAGGAGAAGACAACCCAAAAACTGTGTTTCCTACCGTGGTGGGTGAACCGAGCCAAAAAGTTTGTATATGGATATTTTGACATATTATATTTCCCTTATTTTTTTAGGCTTAAGTATCTTTATATATGTAAAAAGAACGCATTAAATTTTTGAAAATATATTGAAAACACAATAAAGAATATTTAAACACATTCAAGTAGTAAAGGAAAAGGGGTCCATGTCCAAAGCGCTTGTGATCGTAAGAACTATATCAGCACACATTTGAAGAAAATACTATACTCACAAGTCCGCACGAATCAACTACTGATGCTCATAATACCATCTTTACCGAAAGCATCGAAAAATAAATAAACCAATATATAAAGTATAAAAATATTTCAGTAAAAAACTGGCTGTTATAAAATAATTATTTTATTACCAGTATATCACATGATGGCATGCAGGCCGTGAATCGTTTCTTTCTTCTGTAAGGTGACTACTTATTACCTACTTACTTTTTGTTATACTATTTTACTGGATTTCTGTACTGATCATCTTTAATCATTTTCTGCTTTTAAGATTATTAAATGTCATGAATACAAATGCTGGTTGGTACAAATAACTTATTTTGATAGTCGATAAAATAGCTACAAACACTTTTATTATTCCTAACTCTATTTAATTCGTTCTTTGCAAAAATAAAACGATATCAACAATTCTATTTGAGACAATACATTTTAATTTAGTAATAGTCCCATTGCAATAAAGACAAAATTATGAAATTACAATATATATATTAACTTATTATTCACCAGTAGATGACGTCATTTATAATGTAATGTAAGCATTTTCTGCATCGAGTTAAGAATTGTTGTTGTTGAAACGGAAATGTTAGTGGCATTATCATATCATTTCAAACGTAATCATTAGAGTTTCTAAAAATGAGAAAACTTAAAGTTAAAGAATTGAAATTATTGAGTCTGTTGCGTCTAGCGGTTTTTTGATTGTCTCTTGTTATCTGCTCAATTTTTTTTTCGTGTATCCTGTACCTTGGATCTTCTTTTTGTCGTATACTAAAACATTACTTTTTATATCTTAGAAAAAATGAACAATTTTAATCATTTTTTATATTTCACATGCTTAATTTGCATACAATATTTTTTTTTAATCTGACTTGATGACCTAGTTGTATCGTATTTGCCTCGTGGGCAGGATGCCGTAAGTGCTTCTCCGTCATGCAACGACATTAAGGCGTGAAAGAAAAGACTGGTCGCCTCAGAATAATGTGTCCGGGTAGGTTGACTTTGATTCCTGCAAACTGTTACTTTGTAAACTAGTATTTTCAAAATCCGCCTTAGCAGTTTGGTCTAGTACAAAGTATATTTAATATTCATATTACATTAAATGACAGTATTCTCGTCCTGAATATGCATTTAATATGCCGCTGGACGTTAAAAAGCTTTCCATCATAACATATGTGTGATTCCAATGTATATATCTGTTACCTTTTAAATATAACACTGATTTGACTTTCACTGATACCATATTATTATAAGGCATGATTTGTTTTATTGTAGGGCGTAGCAACTGGAATGGATCCGAATTCTGTTTACATTGGCTGTGAAGCAAGCAGAAAACAAGGACTCCTTACAGTTAGACATCCAACTACAGATGGTTTTATATCGGACTGGAATTCTATGGAAAAAATATTGCACCACACATTCCATGACGAACTCGGTATTGCAACGAAGGAGCATCCTATTTTACTAACCGAGGCTCAGATAAATCCTAAATGTCTCAGAGAAAGAATGACCGCAATGATATTCGAAGATTTTGATTTCCCTGCGATGTATATTAAAGCAAAAGAAGTTCTTTCATTATATTCTTCTGGGTGTATTACTGGTGTGGCATTGGACATTGGTGACGGTATATCTTGCTCTATACCTGCTTTTGAAGGTTATGCAATTCGCCATGCCGTAATGAGATCGGGTATTTTTGGGCGAGACCTAACTGATTGCTTACAGCAATCTCTCAATAATAGAGGTTATTCTTTCTCTTCTGTTGCTGACAGAGAAATCATTCGTAATATTAAAGAAAATTTATGCTACGTTGCATCCGATTTTAAAAAAAAAATGGAAATGTTTTCGACCGAAGTATCCTCTTTAGAAAAGAAATTTGAACTTCCAGATGGAAAAGTTGTAAAAATCGGCAGTGAACAAATTCGATGTGTGGAGCCCTTGTTTCAATCATCCATAATTGGAATGGACTTCTATCCAGGACTTCATGAAACATTAAATGATAGTATTATGAAATGTGTTGGTGATCTTCATAAAGATCTCTATGGAAATATTGTCTTATGTGGCGAGTCATCTCGTACTTCAGGGATAACTGAACGAATGCAAAGTGAGATTACTAAACTTGCACCCCTCATTAAGAAAATAAAAGTAAAAACTCCACCCGATATAAAGAATTCAGCATGGGTTGGCGGTTCTATCCTTGCTTCTTTGCCAACTTTTCAACAAATGTGCATCACTAAAGAGGAATATGATGAGATTGGTCCGACAATTGTGAACAAAAAATGTGTTTAAACTCGTCATTTTTATGTAGGCAAGATAACTGAATGAAATAAATTCAAATTATCTTTTGTTTATCAGTGGCACGAAGCTGCTGTAGATTCTTAATTCATGTTTTGTTTGCATAGAATAACGATTTCAAATATATTAACATTATATTACATTAACAGTTTTGACTTCTCAAGTTTTCAATCAACCATTCTATACATTGGATGAAATTGCTTGCTATGATATATATTACGAAGGCCAGAAAGGGAATTACCCAATATATCTTGCATGGTATATATAGATATATTAATATTGCGTATAGCCTAACTACTTTTCATCGTGTAAACCGAAAAAGCAGATACAATTGATATTGCACGGTTATTGTTCTCAGTCAATATGCTTCTTTCAATACGATATATCCTTATATCGACCTCATACAAAAGCTTAAATTGTACAGCATCTCGTTACAATAAATCGATAGAAGTCTATAAAAGACATCACAATAGGTAGAATAAAAGACTTCCTACTTAAATGTTCATCTTTAGAAAGTGAGAGAGCAGGGCCGTAACTACATTGAGGCAAATGAGGCAAATGCCTCATGTTGAAATTTCGAGAAAAAAAAATGATTAGTTGAAACAAAAGCTTGTCGTCATATCAAATTGTTTTCACAGCGAGTGTCTTGCAAGAAGCAAGTTCTGTTCACCATCTTACGTCGTCCCCTGTTTTTCGGGATCCATGTTCCTCATTTATTTTTAGTTTTCAGTGTTGATGGTCTATTGTTTGTCGTTATGTGTCTTATTTGTTACCGGGTTTGTCTTATGTTCGTTTATTGCCCTTCTTTATGACTATTGTCTTAGTGTTGAATTTCATTTGTATATTTAATTTAGTAATTTTGTTTTAAACTTGAGTTTTATTATTTTTAAGGACCTTTTGTCTAATTTTAAAACCTACTTTAAATTGTAAAACTATTTGAAATTAGCTCTCAATTTTTTGTTCTAAGGTGGCGTTAAGCGGACACCAATCAATCAATCAATCAATCAATCTTTATGACTAACGCTTCAGTTGTCCAATATTAAGCTGTTGTTGATTTCTTCTCGTAACATGTGTATGTTGTAAACGTTCATTCTCTGCTTTAAGTAGACTTAAGACTTGGAAAAGATAAACGATGACGGGTGAAATGTTGTGTGGTTTGGCAATGTTGCATGTCCATCAGATATTGATCGAAAAAATGGTTTGAGAAGATTCCATGGTACCGGACATAGAAAAATAGGTCGTTTTTTTTCATGGAAAATTAAACTTTATATTAAAAAATACAAGACTGGCTCTCTTTTCTGTAAATAAAACTCATTGAAAAAGCTGACATGGGTTAAATTAAAGTGGGCCAACCAATCTCCCGGAATCAAATCATTTAAAAAGAAAAATCATGTATTGCCATACGACCTTTTACATTGAAGGCTAAACTTGCATTTAGCCGTGTTTAGGCCCTTAAATAGAAAGTAAAGGGATATGGAGTAAATGTGCATGGGACAAAATCGCACACACTACATAGAAAAAGTACAAATTATCAATGAACAGGGTTTTTATTTCTGTTCTTCATCTTGCCAGTCGCTTGATGGTCTTCAACAATGAAAGAATCATTCATACCCTACAACAAGATCAAGACGGTCCCTAGCGTCAACTTAAGTGGTACTTAAAGTATTGTACTGTGAATAAATTTCAAAGTCACAAAAAAATACACCAAAGTCTAAACACAATACAAGACCAGAACAGACAGATCCGACATTATCAGCCGGTATAAAATGTAGCAATGAGGTCTAAGAACAGTTTTCCCGAGACTACCCTGAGTGTACCCTTTTATCCCAGTTAGCAACTACATCAAGTTGTAATTGAAATGCGTTATAAAATGTGAATTCACATAGTTAAATAAATGATAATCAGCCCCCTCTTAACTCTTAAAAAAAAAATTGACAGGTACAATAAGTTTTCTGCAAGCCGAAACTCAATCAAAAAAAAAAAAAAAAAAAAAAAAACAGCAGCCACACATTTAATAATGTGAAATACGAATTTTGCTTAATCCTTCTTATCGGTCTTTTGATGTTGTCCTTAAAAACTTATAGTCTTACAATGAATCTATTATAATATATACAATTGTATTCGTAATTATGTGCTTATGACAGTCACAGGAAAAACAGGATGCTTTAATCCAGCTTTCTATATTTTTAGGATATCTGTATTTGTCATGTGAAAACATATAATATTTGTATTAATATTCATAATGGTGTAATTTTCTTTTTCTTTTCATTTTATTCATAAATTTTATTGTAACCAAATCATTTCAATCATTGTAATCATTTGTACCAAATTTTAACTTGATAATTCTTCCTGTAATGGGCGTCTTTAATTGACAATAAATTATTTGAACTTGAACTTGGTATATATAGTTTGCTGTGCCATTTGAGTTTTGGTTAATATTGCAGGCAGTACGGTGACCTAAAAATCCTACCGTTTTTTTTTGCTTTTTTTTTTTTTTTTTTTTTTTTTTTTTTGTTTGTTTTTGTTTGTTTTTTTTCCTCCGTTAACGTCATTTGTTGTCTCTGGTGGAGGGTTGTTCAATGGCAAACAACATCTTATTCCTATAAATAATGTCATTACTAAAGTGGTTACTACAGTACGATTGATATTTCCCTATACTCAGGGACTAATCGCTTATCTGCAGTGGTCTCTACCCATTAGAAGTTAAATGAAACAATTTGAGACGGAGTGATTGATCTATACAGTGTTGTTTATAGCTATTCAGCTAGTTTTAAGATAAAGGACAGCAATAGAACATGTCTGATTTATTTACATGTATGGTATAATTGGCAAAACGACAACTCAGTGGTACATTTTTTCAGGGAACGGTCCTTATTAATCTGCTGAGGGGGTCAGTTCAAATTTTTCAAATAAAATAAAAAATGTTTTACATTTGTCAACTCTGAAATTCTAGATTGATAACAGTTTAAATTGCACAGTGTTTTGTACACTTTTTTATGCGGCCGTATATAAATGTTGAATTGCCGAAGGCATATATTCAAGCGCAACTTGTTGTTCAACGGTACATTTATTTGTGTAAGTATAATACAACTCAAAATCTATTATACAAAGTTGATTAAAAAAAAGTTAAAGTATCGAAAATTAAACAGACATTACACTACAAACACAGCAAAGAAAAAAAACATTGATTAATACATATGAATTATCAAAAACGAAGTAAGACAAAACTTTGGAATATTTTTATTGAAATAATATTCATAGTAATGATTTAACGTGTATCCATAACATCAACGTGCTCATTAGTGTTTTTGTTTTTGCAGACAATTGGCAAACAATATTGCAAATTTTAAGATCGTAAAAAAATGCATCAAAACACACCAGTTATCGGTTTGCTTTGACAGATTGTTTGTTATGATTAAGAATGTCCTACGTATTCATCGTTGAAATGCTCATAATTTGTCAAATCTGCTAACAGATATCTGTAGAAATTATTATTATACTTTGGTTATATGTTCAAAAATACGTCATAATATGGTAAGAAACTCAAAAATGTTGTTTATGAATTTAAGTAGAGAATGAAATACTTTTACAAAAATGAACTTGACAGAGGATATTGCTCTAAGATAGTCAATGTTCATATCTAATTTTTTTTCGTTGTGGAACAAAATTGACAAAGTAGAACTGACGGAGAAGAAAAAAATGAATATGTTTTTTAGCTGTACAGTAAACGAATTATTCCAAGTCTGAAAAATATTTAGTTTTGTCTTATTTGTGTGTTTATAAAATAAGAATGGAAACGTGGAATAATTCAAAGAGACAACAACCCGACCAAATATGGAGGCGGGCTTCAGCTAGCCCTTTAACAAAAATCTAAACTAGTTCAGCGAAAATGGACGTCACACTAAACTCCGTAGCATACAAATGAACCAAATTAAAAAAAACATGTATACAAGACTAACAAAATCCAGAAGTTCCTGACTTGAGACAGGCGCAAAATGCGGCGGGGTTAAACATGTTTTGTGAGATCTCAACCCTCCCCCTATACCTCTAGCCAATAACGAATAAACAAACACACAACAATACGCACAGAAAAACTCAGTATAAAAGAAGTCCGATGTTAGAATAGGTAACAGAATAAACTAAGCAAGATTACAATGATCGACATTGATTAACAAAGGACTACTATCATTTATTGACATGCCAGCTCCAGACCTCAGTTAAACTGATTTAAAGATTATGTCTTCACTATTTGTTTGTTTAAATATTGTCGGTTTTGTTTGGGTTTTTTTTATTTTTATTTGGAGGATGGTGGAATGGACTTGTGTTAGGATATGATAGGATTCTAAGGGTTTTGGTGATGATGGGAGTTCTTACAAAATCGCTAAAAGGTTTATTTGCTCTTTAATAAAATTGGACGAAATGAAAGCGTGGCAAATTGTTGAATTGTCTATCATGTTTATTGTTTATGATTTTCATTTTTCATTTTTGTACAATGTATCCGTATACAAATATGCAAAACAATATTGGTAAACCATAAAGCAAAATAAATGATCATGCAAAATGAAGGAAGTATGATGCGAGCCATTATCTGGCCCTTAAAATTATAATAAAAAAAGTTGAAATCTGTTACTTTTTTAAAATTTCGTTACTTCTACTGTAGATTGATTAGGGTGAAATAATCTGGACACTTTAGAACAGAAATGTATATGTATGTTACTTTGACGGAATAACATGGATAGATTGATATAGTTGTCCAAAGTGGTAATTATACAAGTTTGAACAAAGATATGAGGGTAACACATTTACATCTTTGAACGTTGAAATTACCACCAACAAAATACTCTCAACAATTAACTTTGATTGTTTAACGACACTTTCAGAACTATTGTGCTATTTAGTGGCAAGTCAGTTTTTATTGGGGGATGAAGCCGGAGAGAACCACAGGTTCGCTCTTCGAAAAAGAACTATGCGCATTCACATTAGTTTACTTATTTTTGTCGACAAAATGAACAAGAAATACTGAAGCAAAATGTCACCAGCTCCTGTGTAAAAACTCTTCAAAGATAATAGGCTTATATTTTTTTACGCCAGACGCGCGTTTTCTCTACAGAAAACTTTTCGGAGACGCTCGTGTATATGGGGAATAAAATTGCGCGTTCAGTATAAGAGTTGTGCAACAAGAACATAAGCTACATTAACAAGTGTATTTTAAAATCTAGTAGTTGTAGCTGTTATTCAATAGGCTTAGCATGATGTTATAGTAGTATAAAAGTAAAAGAAACTATCAAAGTCCCATTTGTCACATAAAATGGTTGAATCGAAAAAACGAAACAAAGTGGTGATCAATATCACATTAAGGCAAATAATTCTTGCAAAATATTAAATAGTGCTGTTTAATGGCCTCAGAGTGGTTGCGTTCACAAGGTGTCATTATGGTAAGATCGTAAACAAGTACCAGCACTCCCGTTGTCAGATCAAACTGGCGATAAATTATGGTCAGGAAATATAACGATAAATAATATAAAAATAAGGAGATGTGTTATTATTGCAAATGAGACAGATATTCATCCAATCTCAAATGAGGTCGATGTAAACCAATACCGTATAGTCGGTTATAAATGGCCCCGACATGAAAAATATTAAATAACTCAATTGAGAAAGCTAACGGTCTAATGTATTACAAAACTATTTACGTAAAACAAATATGACAGGCATGAACCAACGAAAACCACTAAACTACTGCAACACTTTTCACAAAAAATCTTACGATTAAAATTGATCGTAAGTTATACTGAAATGTTCATGAATTACGAGTATTTTTACTCGTAAGATTTTTTGTGAAAAGAGCCCCAGGCTGCTGACAAAGGACGGTCGATAGCTATTTGCGCCAAAAATGAATCCATTTGCACCACAACTTATTTGCGCTAATGCTTCTTCTGTGCCACTTCATTTAAAAAAAAAATATAAGTTTCATTTGCGCCAACAAAACAATCATACAATTATGCCAAATTTATCAATTTATTTTTTTTTACTTATGTATATCTACTTAATTATTTTTAGAGGACAGGCACATACAGAATGTGGCGGAGTCACACATTTTTGCTAGCGCCAATTTATCCCCCTAACCTGGGACGGTAAATAACTCTACTTGGTATTTTAGCTTTCTATCAAACGGTAAAACTCTTCAATAGATTAGTTTAAATTTATTCACTATTTTTCTATGTCATATTTTTTTTCAGTTATCATATGGTGATCGTGTTAAATGGCTATTTTAATCATTAAGGATAATTGAAAAGGTGTCATGGAATGATGGACATCAATATTGCAAGGTATTAATTAGATGTGGTATGGTTACGTTGCCAATGAGACGACTATCCATAAACAAAGAACAAAATTCTGAACAACAACATGTCACCTTACGGCCTTCAACAATGAACAAAATCCCACACCGTATAGCATGATATGAAAGGCCCTGGTAAGACAAAATGAAATAATCAACAACATTATTTATACGACAACAACGGACGAAAAGCAAATATCAGAGACAGCAACAAAGTAAAACCACTGAATTTTCTGACTTGGATGGAAAATAAAGATCGAAGCGGGGTGGAGCATGTTAACATATGGTGGCCTATCTTTGATGACATCCACGGCATTAAGTGTCTGGTTGATACTTAAAACTTGTTTCATTTGCAATCATACCACATCTCCTTATTCTTATATTGTGAGCGCTCAATCTGTTCCTTATCTTGGACAGTGTTGTAACAACACAACGTGAGAGTAAACTACTAAAAATCACTTAGAAAGGACTTGTCTCATCAGATTGATACTTTCACAAAGACATATCACAAAATGATAAAAGACACAAAGAATAAATTTAGGAGTGCATGCAGTTACCAGTGTTACCGTGATACAGCTAAAAGCTGTCAACTAATAAATAAAAAACTATGTTCTTCCAGACTACAATGGCAATCCGAACATCTCCGACGTATTTAGTTTGAACACGTCATAAGCAGTCTTGGAAAATAAGATCATGAACAATTCCAAAATGTAAATGTTAATACATTAGGCTAGATAACAATACATGTAAAGTTATGTATCAAATTATTTAAAAGAATCAAGTTAGTACCGATAAAGATTCATTATTCAAACATCTTAATACATAGTGGAGTTATTTGTCGTTATATTACTTATGTACATACATCAGGTAGTTAGTTTTCTCGTTTGAATTGTTTTTCATTTGTCATTTCGGTGCCTTGTATAGTTTGCAATGTGGTATGGGTTTTGCTCATTGTTGAAGGCCGTACGATGACCTACAGTTGCAAACCTTTTACGTCATTTGGTCTCTGTTGGAGAGTTGCTTTAATGGCCATCATACCACATCTTCTTATTTTCATATTAATTGGTCAATTTTAAGAAATTAGTTTTTTCAAAGATACAATGACTGTATGTGGATCGTATATTAATTTACGAGCTCTATAATCAATAACACCGAATAAATTAAGATGTGATACCCCATGCGTTCTAAGATCTCTGCAGACGTGTAAACAAACTATGGTTGTCTTTGAAAGAATAAGGTAAATATTACAAGTACACTGTGATTACGAAATCCTTGACGTGATAATTTTAGTTACACACCAATAACGATCATTGAAATCTAAGACAGTTCTACAGACACGGACATGGCGAAACAGTACATGACGTAAAAAAGGCATAAAGAAACATCGCCTCCATAAAAGAAAAATTAATTATAGGGAACAGAAAAAGTCGTCAATTTTTGTAAAGAGTTTCCTGTGTGAAACTGAAATTTTAATCAAGAAAAGGACACTTATCATTTTTTGTTATTGCTGTAACTATTTGATTTATTTGAGGTAATATAACATTTAAAAATCAACAGTGCAAACAAAAATTCTGACGAGTTTCAATGGTTCATTTTCTATCAAATATAATTACATAGTAATCTTTAAATAGATGAAGTATTTAAAACTTCCTTACAAACAAAATACTTGTAACTTGTAGTTCTGTTAAATATGAACCCTGTTTCTTTCTCAACCGCAAAATAAATAACAACTTAAGAGCTACATTGTGGAATTATCTTAAACAAGTCATATTTTATTTTTCAAAATTAGACTCAGACCTGCGAAATATACTGACGGACAAAAGCAACATATAGCAGGACCAATCATTGCAAATCATTTTGCATTTTTAGACAAGAATCAAGAAAACTGACGTCCATTATTTCAAATTTTATGGGGAAAATGACAGAAGGCATACTAGACGGGAGCAGACATTCTGTCTGCCAACAAGCAACCTATGGACCACTGAAAGAGTTGTAAGGGTTCTTCAACGTGAAGATGGTGTGGTTAACTCTCCCTACACAAGACATGAGATTTTACGTCCATATCTTCCGAAAAAAATCTTTTATTTGCGCCAAATTGTAAGGCAAGTGAATATCATAGTTAAAGTTTTACATTTACAAAATTTAATTTATAACTCTTATTGTATCAATCCTTCCATTTGCATGGCATTACATGTAACCATTCGTCAACACGTGGAGGTTGAAGTATGAGGATATCGATCGAGCAGGATAAGTTGTTTCAAGTTATGATAATTAGGATTTACACAACATGTAGCTACTGTTTTGTTTGTATCCTGAAAATATGTTTGCCCCGTCTGTTATCACAGTGATTCTTCTTTGCATCTATAAGACTTGTCTTAGATAGAATTATGTCCATCTGGGGAGTGGCCTTGTCATCTCGTAATGTATATCTAATTATACATTGTACAATTTTAGAAATAAAAACTCACTTACATACTCTTTTTTTTGCAAGTGTGCTGCGACTTTGTGTTCATTTCAGTTTAGTGTACTGTGACTTCGCGTTCATTTTAGTCTAGTGTACTGTGACTTCGCGTTCGTCTCAGTCTAGTGTACTGTGACTTCTTGTACAAAGCAACCGTGAATGTACTGTGACTTCAAGTTCAAATTGTTCTCTGTAATTTTAGTCCCTTGAAAGCAGGTCCTTGTCTTTGATATGGTATATGGGGTTGCTCTCATTTGACATTTACTACTTTTACGAAGAATTTGTATTTTATTACTATTGGCAATCATTAACATTTCAAGTTTCTTCATTTCTTTAAATCTTTGTTTTGTCGAGTCCACTGTGCCAAAGTACCAATTTAGTTGTTTTTACTGCGATTGGGGTAATTGAAATAGAAAGACATAATGGAGCATACCAAAGCTCGTCATGGAAATAAAGATATGAGACGCAAAAAAATTGAACTATCGCCAACCGCTGGTCATTATGGAAATCGAACTCTAAGTAACGTAAAGTTGAAACATATGGGAAACAGATATTCATAAATATAAATTGTAAATTATTTACAAGTGCATGATGATGATGATGATGATGATGATGATGATGATGATGATGATGATGATGATGATGATGATGATGATGAATTAAAAATACCAGATGATACAAGTGCATGATGATGATGATGATGATGATGATGATGATGATGATGATGATGATGATGATGATGATGATGATGATGATGATGATGATGATGATGATGATGATGATGATGATGATGATGATGATGATGATGATGATGATGATGATGATGATGATGATGATGATGATGATGATGATGATGATGATGATGATGATGATGATGATGATGATGATGATGATGATGATGATGATGATGATGATGATGATGATGAAGATGATGAAATCGAACTCTAAGTAACGTAAAGTTGAAACATATGGGAAACAGATATTCATAAATATAAATTGTAAATTATTTACAAGTGCATGATGATGATGATGATGATGATGATGATGATGATGATGATGATGATGATGATGATGATGATGATGATGATGATGAATTAAAAATACCAGATGATACAAGTGCATGATGATGATGATGATGATGATGATGATGATGATGATGATGATGATGATGATGATGATGATGATGATGATGATGATGATGATGATGATGATGATGATGATGATGATGATGATGATGATGAATTAAAAATACCAGATGGATGATTATTTGGATGACTGTCTGAGAGCTTATGTTGACATTGAATTAGTCTGCAGTCTGATACAAAAGTCCGGAAAGTAGTTTGCAAGAGGAAATACTTTACATGCAAACCAAATACAACCATGTGTCCTTTTCCGGGATTCAGGATATCATGGATTTTTTGTCAGCGAATGACAATTTACAAGAATTTGAACTGTTACATGTATGTTAAAGCTAGGACAGACAAACCGTATACATGCATCGACTAATAGTTTTATACAAATTTTGTTGGGTTAGAATATGGTAAAGTTAAAATTAGACACCAATAAACACCCTACTAGGATATTAAAACATATAGCTGAGGTTGTAATATGTTTATAACTGCAACACGAAGTCATGTAGTACACAAAAACGTGAAGGCACAGTACCGTCTTAAAAATTATCAACGCGAAGTCACAGTACACTTGCAAACTACACCGACTACATTATTCGTCCAATGTAAAAATATACAGCAAGAGTAAGGATCAGACTTGTCTTATATCAAAGATAAATGATTTTGAAGAGTGGAGTAATTGATACTTTGGCATTTGTAACTTTATTTTCAAACTATAACTTGTCAAAAATATTGGAACGCTATAAAACGTTCAGACAAAACTGTACCCAAATACTTTTAAATTGTATTATTATTTTTATGTAAATCTGTAATTAATGCAAAATTCATTCTGTAATACATAATGTTATAAAAAAGTAAAGAATCAATATATAATACAAAATAAACATACCAAACTGAATATATTGTTGTTATTTCGTGTTGCAAAATGGAAGTCACAGTACACCGAAAACGCGACGGGACATTCCATAGAGGACACCGTTTACATAGTGTGGTTATAGTAATCCAATGAGTTATATTGTGTTTGATATACATTATATATGTCCCGAACAGGTGCCCGTATAAATACAATGTTTATTTCCGACACGTCTGGATGATTTATACCGGAAACTATAAACAAAATTGTAAGAAGTTTATTGCTTGTTTTTTTTACTTTATTAACTATTCTTATAAAGTTTAACCCGAAAGTATGACAACTGTAGTTGTAGACAACGGATCATGGTTCTGTAAAGCTGGTTTCGCAGGAGAAGACAACCCAAAATCAGTGTTTCCTGCCGTGGTGGGCAAACCGAGACAAACGGTTTGTATGGATTCTTTGACATAACATATTTGATACCCTTGATATTGTTTAGGCTTAAGTTTTTTTTTACAATAAATATTTCATTTGACTAAGCTGTCGTTATTAGTGTTGGACGCCCATCGTAATTGTTTTAATATGATAATTAATTCATCGTAATTGTTTTAATCATAGATCTTAAGTAGACGATAGAGGCATTTAAAAAAATAGATATAGAGGGGCAGCATAAATAAACTACTGCTATTGAAATATCATGTGGATAAGAGCAAAAACGCATTAAATATTTGAAAATAAGTTAAAATGATAAAGAATATTTAAAAAATAGAATAAACAAAGAAAAAAGGATAAGAAAAAAGAGGGTCCATTCCCCAAGCGCCTCTCGTCTTTTAAGAACTTCATCATCACACATTTGAGGGAAACACTTGCTATAATTCACAGGTAATGAGACGGAAAGAACCAGAAATTGGTATTCATAAATTAAGCCATGTATACCGAGAGCTTCGACAAATAAAAATACGATAGTGTAAAAACATTTCAGTGATAAACTGGCTGTTATCAAATACTTGATTTGATAAATGTATATCACATGATGGCACGCAGTCAGAGACTCTTTCTTTCTTTTTTTTTAAGTTGCTACCTATTTATACCAACTTACAATTGATTTCTTTGATGATCGTCTGAAATCAAAAACTTTATTTCATGCAAAAATAAGTTTTAATTTAGTAATATAAAAAAAATAAGATGTACTGTGGTATGATTGCCAATGAGACAACTCTCCACCAGAGACAAAATGTTTCCATTGCAATAAATACAAAATTAGAAACAAATAATTAAATATTTACTTATTTTTCACCAGAGGATGAAGGCGATTGAAATTAAATGTAAAGTCGGCATTTCCTTCGTCGAGTTAAGAAATGTTGATGTTGAAACGCAAATGTCAGTGGCCATGGCATTATCATATTTAAAAAGTAATCATTGGACAGAGTTTCCACAAATGGGAATTTAAAGTCAAAGTTTTGAAATTATTGCGGTTGTTTTTATTCTACTTGCTGTTTTTTATTTCCCTTGTCATCATCTGACCTCTTTTGAACCGAGAACACGGTTATTTCGTAGTGCGTTTCTTATTGATAATAAATCCAAATTTTGACAAATAAAAGAATCGCAACTGCGCTTTTTTCAATATTATGTTTACAGTGAAGTGTAATACATACAGGGACAAATTATAGAAAACATCAACTCTAACTCAAAATATGGACAACTTTATGTTAAGGGAGAGTCTTGAGTTGTGTTTGAGGGGTTATACCAACATCGATTTTTCCCTACTAGTCTTTGTTAAATGGGATCTTAAAAAAAATGGGCAAACTTTATCTTTGTTTCAAATAAAGAAATAATTGGCACGATTTAAGTTTTATTCTGTCCAGTACTACATTGAAAACTGCACACAACCGGAAAGTAAATCTATCAAATTTTCGTCCCTCTTTTCCTGTTTACAATCTTTTAGTAAACATGTCACTTCAGGTTTTCAAAATATTTTATGGAAACACCAAATAAAACAGAATGGTGCTTGAAACACCTATGATAAATGTTTATGACTCAGAAAAAAATTTCTGCAATGAAATGCAGGGTAAATGTCCTACAACTGTCAAATTCGAGGGAATATTTTTTCGCCCCTCTTTAATATAAAACCGGGTGACGAACGCTGTTTTGGTGCTATTACACCTTGACAGCTTCAGACATACTAATTTTTTACCTTTTTCACCTGGACCAAATCCCTTCTTTACTTTAAAATCATGACCATCCCCTTACTTGTTATTTGAGGCATAAAACATGAAAAAATAAATTGTGAAGGTGTATGAAAAAAATTTGCAAGTAATTATACACTGTCCACACTATAGGGACTATATTTGTCAACGAAAATCAAAGGACGATAAATTTGTTCTTGTGCCTTTTTTCGTGCATTCTGTACATTTGAACTTCTTATTGTCGTGTACATTACTTGCTATATCTCTAAAAAAAATCAATGTACAACATTTTTTTTTATATTCAGGTGCAATTCCACATACTTTAATTGCATACAGTGTCATAAAAATCTGTGAGATTCCCATTTACCTATCTGTTACCTTTTAAATATAACATTGATTTGACTTTCACTGACATTGTATTATTGTAAGGCATGCTTTGTTTTTTTTATAGGGCGTAGCAGCTGGAATGGATCCGAATTCCGTTTATATTGGCATTGAAGCGAGGAGAAAACAAGGACTCCTTTCAGTTAAATATCCAACTGAATTTGGTTGTATCACAAACTGGGATTATATAGAACATATATTACACCACACATTCTATGACGAACTTGGTATTACAACGGACGAGCATCCTATTTTACTAACCGAGGCTCAGCTAAATCCTAAATATAACAGAGAAAAAATGACAATGATGATATTTGAAACTTTTAATTTCCCTGCGATGTATGTTAAAGCAAAAGGAGTTCTTTCACTTTATTCTTCTGGTTGTATTACTGGTGTGGCATTGGACATAGGTGAAAATATTTCGTATTCTTTACCTGCTTATGAAGGTTATGCACTTCGTCATGCCGTAATGAAATCGGAGCTAGCTGGGCGAGACCTAACTGATTACTTACACCAATCTCTCAATGATAAGGGTTATTCTTTCGATTTCTCTTCTGTGGCAGACAGAGAAATCATTCGTAATATCAAAGAAAATCTATGCTACGTTGCATCCGATTTTAAAAAAGAAATGGAAAAGTTTTCAACCGAAGTATCCTCTTTAGAAAAGAAATTTGAACTTCCAGATGGAAAAGTTGTAAGTATCGGCAGTGAACGAATTCGATGTCTGGAACCCTTGTTTCAACCATCTATTGCTGGGATAGAGTTTCCTGGACTTCATGAAACTTTAAACTATAGTATTTTGAAATGTAATGAGGATCTTCGTAAAGATCTGTATGGAAATATTGTTTTATGTGGCGGATCATCTCGGACTCCAGGGATAACTGAACGTATGCAAAGTGAGATTACTAACCTTGCACCTCTCATTATGAAAATAAATGTAAAAACTCCACCAAATATTAAGAATTCAGCATGGGTTGGCGGTTCTATCCTTGCTTCTTTACCAACTTTTCAACAAATGTGCATCACAAAAGAGGAATATGATGAGATTGGTCCGACAATTGTGCACAAAAAATGTTTTTAAACTCGTTATGTTTTTTGTAAAGAAGATAACTGATTGAAATTAATTCAAATTATCTACCCTACATGAGTGGCATGAATCAGCTGTGGGTTCTTAAAAAATGAAGACTTAATCGGAAGTCATGTTTTGTTTACATAGAAGAATCCTAGAATAACGATTTCAAACATATCAACATCATATTACAACAAATATTAACAGTTTTGACATCTCAGGTTTTCATTCAACCATTCCACACAATGGATGAAATTTCTTTGTAAGATATATATTATAAAGGTCAGAAAGGGAATAACCAATTTTATCGCTATTTTACGAAATTTTCCTTTGATCTTGCTGACTGATAATTTCCTTTCTCTGCGGAGTCGAGTGATATGAAAATTATCGCTAGAAACTAAGGGGGCACGAGGCGTTGTCAATGAAATTGACATGAAATTGACAACGTCGACATAGGTAAAAAAAAGCGATAAACAGATTATCATTGGTCATCTCAACTCGATTGCTTTACTCACTTTCGCCGTTCCGGCTCAAGCGAGAAAATCAATCTCGTTGAGATGATCAACGATAATCTATCAATATCTTGTATAATTTTATATACATGTATCGTTACAATGAATCTACAGTTGTTTATTAATTTGTTAAATTGTGAATTTTCTATAACTATTGAATACATTTATAATTATTTAATGTTGTTGTTGCATGTCTTTATATTTATATATTATATTAGGAGAGGGCTAGATCCTATATAATTTGTGATAACTTGTTTCTGATCCTTTTTGTTATACACATGTATGTCATGACAAATAAGTATGTTTTGATGAAGAAAAAAAAACTTCAGAAGTCAACATGGTCTAGAAGACAAAACAATAGAAAGAATACAGAAAAGAAATATTTTACAAATGATTAATGACTTTGGAAAAAAACTATCCCCGATTCCTTATGTAAATGCATGGCATTACTCATGACGTAACAAATTGAGGGGAAAGTGAAGGCGCGCGTAACTTAAGTTACCAGCGTTTCAAAATGTTGGACGCTGAAAGTGTTCCGCTGAGTATAAAGTATGCATCCCTTAAATTTTGATCCTATCCGATAAGGAAAAATCGTAGAATGCGGCATAATAGGTGACTATCTTAATCCATAAAAACTATATTTAAGTGGAAGATAATCGCACTTATGATAGAAACTAAATCCAGTAAAAAAATTTATCAAAGATGCACATAGCTTACATGTTGTGATGTTGGTAACTTTCATAGTAGGAAGTTGCCATGGAAAAACAAGGGAGAAATTGGTACGGGGAAAGTTCTGCCGTACACAACTGGAAAGATTTATAGCTAGATATGCGTTGTGGGTTTTGTTCACTGTATAGAACAAGCAATCTGATTCAAATTTGTTGAATTTACTTCGAAAGGATTCTAGTAGTAGTATCTCCGGACACTCCCGCCTTTCTCCACAAACAAAATAGCACAATAGTGCTGAAAGTGGCTTTAAACACCAATCAACCAATCAAAAAAGAGACCACTGCAGGTAAGTTTAAGTCCCAGAGTAGAGGGTAGTATCAAGTGCGGTGGAGTTACCGTTTTGGTACTGACATTGTTTGTACCCGTACACATCTTGTAAAAGGACTACTAGGAACAATAAGTAGACATAAGAAGATGTGGTATGAGTGCGCATGCCAATGAGACAACTATCCATCCAAGTCACAATTTGCAAAAGTAAACCATTATAGGTTAAAGTACGGCCTTCAACACGGTTTTTTGTTTTTTTTTCAGATTTATATGATTTTTGTTTTTTATTTTGTTATATCTAAATAGTATGTCATTACTTATATATAATCAGGTTTTACTGATTTAAACAAATCAGTAGCTAAACTTTGTCTAGCTTCACGCATTGATGCAAAAATTCTAATTTTGCCTTCATTTTTTATTGCACTGAATATCTTCGACATCGTCAAAATATGATTATTTCAATCTATTTCTCAAATAGCACACACATGCGTTATCAATGTCGTAAAATAAATTTTCTTTTTGATAGAGATTGAGAAACATCGAGTAATCCATGAACTTCCATTAATTTTTTAATAAGGATAGGAGTGGGTCAAATCTAAATAGTAATTAAAATAGTCTATTTTGATAGTTTATACAGTTTTGCATTTAATGCAAGACGTGTTAGGCTCAAGTACAAACAGTTTGAAAATATGATTGAATTTAGATGATTGCAAAAATTTTGTTATTCAAAGTGTTACGTAAGCGTACTTTGAACATACCGTTATCATGATGCATAATCTAAAACGTATACCAGTCGACTGTCGCATATTAACGACCCAAAGCATATATGATGGCAAAAACTGGCCTTACATACCTTACTCTTTTATTTTTTTACACTATCTTAAAAATTCTGCTTTGTAACTATTAAAATCATGACCATTAGACCAACTTTCAAAATTATTGAGATTTATCGGTGCCCTATTGCTTGAAAGGAGTCCTTCGATTTATTTGATGACCATGCATTCCTAGTCTTTTGTTCATTCATACAAATTTCCATTCTGACATTTGTTGTTAGGTGACTTTGAAATGAGACTGACATACAAGGGAAGACCGACCGTGTTAATAAATAATGAAATAGCAATTTATAAATTATTGTTTGCATCAGATAAATTAGAAGCGCCTTCCTAGTTCAACCTCCACTTAAAAAGCTCATCTTAATCTAATTATAAACAAATGACTAATAAAACTAAAATCCTGTTAGTCGCAGAAAGACACGTAACACGATGGCAACATAAAACGAAGAAAAGAAAACATTCTACATAATACCAAACAGAAAAAAACATAGGGTTGATTCTAGTGTTCCAAAGGGTCAGCATTGCCAGTTCTACTAGTAGCCAATATAAGAAATTTTATACGGTTTAATAAAATGGAATTTTAAGTCCTTCAATCTAATACAAGCACGATAATGACTTAACTAAATCTCATCTACGAGTTGTTTAAATTCCTTTCGCTTAAGAAACAATTACAGTTTAAAGTGTACTCGATGTTTGCGTGTTTATCATGTGGACCCTCTTTTCTCCATCAGACTCCAACATGTTTGAATCTGTCACACATTGGAAAGTAACAGTTTGTCTATTCAGCATTTTTGTCTTTCCATCGATACGAACATTTATATGAGCAACTTTACATATAATGTCTTAAGAATGGGTAGGACTACTTTCGTAGTATTTACTCTTCTTCTTGTTGCTGCTATCTACGTTCAAGGTAAGAAACATTAACCTGAAAAAAACTTTCCATATTTTTACGTGCTTTATTTATTGTTTTTTATGTCTACTTATAGTATGTGAAATATTGTTAACAGAAAAAAAACACGCTCTGAGCTAAATTTAAGAAATATTTTGAAAATTTTATAACAGACACTGACAGTCTTACAGATCCATGTGAAATATTCTGCGATTCCGCTACAGGAAAAGGTTAGTTAAATTTCTTAATTTAGCAAAAAGTCCCCTTTTCTGTGTGAAGTGTTTATCAGTGTGTAAAGGTGTTATTAACGATTATATAGCAGTTGTTAATTTATCCTTTCAAAAATAAAATCATGGAGAGTGTCCGTCACATGGTTTTATTTAAGATTTTTCACTTTATAATTTGTATAAAAGAACAGAGTTCCAATGTCATTTGCGTTGCACTTATTTAATATTTCCAAAGGGTATAACTCATTTTAAAAAAGTCGATCGTCCACTATTTTAGAACTTGTCCGGGATATTGCTGATATTAACCTACAGTATAAGTTTTATAAAAATCTGGCAACAATTGTACCCCTGAGAGCGCTAACGAGGCCATTTTCCATAAATTTAATATTTCTAAGGGGCATAACTCTTTTTTAAAAAGTCGATCGTCCACCATTTTAGAACTTGTCCGAGATATTGCTGATAATAACCTATAGTATAACTTTTATAACAATCTGACAAGAATTGTACCCGTGAGAGTGCTAACGAGGTCATTTTCCATAAATTTAAAATTTCTAAGGGGAATAACTCTTTTAAAAAAAGTCCATCGTCAATCATTTTAGAACTTGTCCATTGCTGATATTAACTTATAGTTTAAATTTTATAAAAATCTGGCAAGAATTGTATCCGTGAGGGCCCTAACGAGGCCATTTTCCATAAATTTAATATTTCCAAGGGACATAACTCTTTTAAAAAAGTAGATAGGCTACCATTATAGAACTTGTCCGATACATTGCTGATATTAACCTATAGTACAAGTTTTACAAAAATCTAGCAAGAATTGTACCCGTGAGAGCGCTAACAAGACCGGACAAACGGACAGACCCACGGACGTACGGACGGATGCCCCGTATTTCCATGTCCCACGCAACGGGTTATGCGGGGGACAAAAACCTTCGAAAGCAGCTATAACTGACTATCAAATGAGGACGGATTGAACTTTGGCCAGTCTAAACAGTTTTTCGAAAATTGTTATTTCATTTTTGTGAAACTTCTTTTGGTGAAATTACGACAGTGGTCAGGGGCGGATTAAGGCGGGGGCATGGCGGGCGTGCGCCCCCTAAAATTTGCAAAGCATGGGTTGTCCTCAGCTTAGTATTTAGTATCTGTAGAAACGACGAAAATTAATGTCGTCGCATTCCATCCGTTTTAACATTCAAAGTATATAAAACAGTAAGTTTAACAGAATCAACGTGATTACTAATCAACTGACCTACGGTTTATTTAAGTTCTAAAAAATTACTTCAAAGGAAGGTGTCAAACGCGCTGCGTTTGATGACAAATATTATAGGCTTTTAGCAGTTAAAGTAAAAATAATTGTCACATTGTAGTTTCGGTTTTTATAAACAATTTCTTTGATAATCGAAGTTCTAAAACATTCCTAACTCACTTTCCCACGAAGTAGGTGAATGTGTCCTACCCGCGGTTGGGTTGGTTGTTTCATCATGGCACGGCCAAGTGAACAGTCCAGGTTAGATTTTTTCTTAATGAAAGATAGAAATACTGGTTCAAGCGAAAGGTTAGTTTATTAATTTGTATCATTATTTAATATCTCTGTGTCTATAGCTCACAGATTTCTTGTTAATTATGGTGATAGTAGATTGTTGTCAGGGGTGAAATTAGGCGGTTTTAGCTTGAAACTTTAACCTCTCGCTAATGCTACACAAAAATAAAAAGCATGGCGAGACATCTACATTGAACCCACTCTACAAGAATATTTCGATAATTTTAACTCAAAAATTCCAGTTTGCGCCTACCCCTAACCTAAAATCCTGGATACGCTCCTGATGGTCATGTCTGTTTGTGTTAAATAATACTTCTTAAAGAAGCTTGAAGATGTCTTTATCGTTTGCCATTACGTATGGTTGCAACTTGTGCTTTATAGGATTTTTCTACTTTCACCTTTGTTTAATTATCCTGTACCCAAAATTACCCGATAGGCTAAAAAATATGAATATTAAGTTAGCCACTGACGAGGTTACCGATTTGTTACAGGCAAATGAATTCGTGACGGTACACCACTGACGGGGTTTATGATTTATTACAGGCAAATGAACACGTGACGGTACACCACTGACGAGGTTTATTATTTGTTATCATCCTTCCCTACGGCTATATCTGTTTCCTCTACGTATCCGTAAAACTCGTATCACGATAGCGCGTGCTCTGAGGAGACATTATCAACTTGAGGAGGAAA